TAACCAACATGCAGATTTCTCCTCCCAAACGTCCACGTCTCGACATCCCAACAAAACAATCCATGTCATCCATCCAGAGGCTTTCCCAGGTAGACCAAAGTCACTTCTGTGTTACCATACACAGCAGACACTGCTGGATACAGGCAAACTTTTGGCAGTCCTCTGAAGGCAACTCCCAAGAACTCATAGCCTCTCTCAAACGCTAATGTTTTGTCTTCCATGTCCAGGATAACTCGAATCCTTTCACCTATCTGGAAACAGAGACAGGAGGGGAAGTAAAAATAACACATAGAGTCAGCATGTTCAGATGGAAACAAAAATAATGCAAAGTGTAATGTAGCAGAGAATTTTAAAGCAGGCCTTGTCCTGTGTTTCATGATTGATTGATCTTATGATGGGAATTTCCCAATTCCACCATAATCCTGAGTACCTCTGGAGCAGGACAGTCCACATCCACCATTTGTTTATGATAATAAACATGACCCATATGAACCTGTGAGAGCAGGCACTGCTTGCTGTGTGCTTTGGAAGTACTACAGAGCTTTGGAATCTTTGCAACGGGCTCCAAGTTACCTGACCCCTGTGCTGCTGAGCAGCAACTGCTCTGTGAGCAGCATTTTTAAAAACAATGGATTTAAGAAAGACAAGTGCCACCTACAAAAAAATCCAAGAATAGACTAATATGCAGGTGCTGTCGCTGACAGATATGTTCCCTCACCAAAGTAAAAGGAAATTTCAGTACAAAATGTAAAACAAAAACCGTAAAAATATATACACACACACATGTGAAACCAACATTGACCAGAGCAGGAGCCTTGGACCCAGGCAGGCCCAGAGCTCCCTGCATTTATCTAGCACACATTATTTCAGACACCAATGAAAGTTCCAGAGAAAAGCCACAAGCGCAGCAGGCACCACACAAACTCCTGACTGTTCTCCAGCCGGCCCCAGCACTGGGAATTTCTTTCAGCCAACACTAATGCACACATGTGTTTCCTCTAAGCACGTTTTCTACTATCAGATCAGAGCATATGTCTTAATAAACACAAAATAAACCAAAGGATCACTGATTTGAACTTTCACACAAAATCTAGGAATATCAGATACAAGGCACTACACAGATCTTCATCCACAAGTGAAATGTAAGCTAGTAAAAAGCCACAGCACTGAGGGTCAGACTGGATTATTTTTAAAGTCCCTTCTAACCCATTCTCTGAATATGAGATGGAAATTACAATGCTCCAGTTTAAGCTGTAACACGAGCAAATCCAGCAGTGAAAAGGGAGTTGTGTGAGCAGGCAGAATGACAAGACAAGCACTTGTATAAGGACAAAAAGGTGGGGTGGCCTCTGCTCTTTAATACCCTGAAGTTATCTGAACATCAGGTTGCAGATAAAGGATGTCACCCACGGGAAGGTGGCCAGTGAGCACAGCAGCAGCAATCAGCACTGCTGCAGGTTTTGGCAGGAAGACTCTCCCCTAAGCACTAACTTCAACTCACCCTGCCAGACAACAAAGGAGTACAAACCTTGCTGTGGGGCAAGTCACTACTTCAGGAAGCTACAACAGTCTTTTCAGGTTTTATTCCAAAAAGCACTACCATGTCTAAGCAGACACCCACAGTACAGGTTTCACACTCAGTGTTTTGAGATAAAAGTGTGAAAACAACCCAGGGTCAGGTGTACTGAACACCAGACAGATGTAGCCTGCGGAAGCAGCAAATGAAGGGGGGAAAAGGCTCACAAGGTGGAATCATTTGCCTTCTGCAGGGAAGGCAGAGACCTCTGAGGGTCACTTAGGAGCTGGGACAGCCAGCACCCCCCAGCCCCCTCACCTGGTATTTGGGCGCGTTATTGCACTGGGGGAAGCTGCCGTTCACCTCCCCGTTATGCAGCAAGTTATTGTCCACCAGGTTCCAGCCCCAACTCTGGTCGTCGCTGCCCAGCAGGGCCACGTAGCCCTGGCACTGCATGGCCGCGCGCTTGGTGGCGATGCCGATGACGGCCACGGTGCCCAGCGGGCCCTCCCACCACACCTCCCAGGCGTGCCGGCCCTCGCTGAAGCCGATCTTGGTGCGCGCCCCGTCCGTGCTCTGTGCGATGGGGTTGCGGTGCAGCGTGAAGCCGTTCTTCTTGATGTACACGTTCCTCGAGCAGTCGTTGGTGCTGAAGGCGTGGTGGAAGGCACGGACCTGGGAGAGAGAAGGTGGATGGGGGAGATGGACGGGGCTTGGAGCAGCCTGGTCTAGTGGGAGGCGTCCCTGCCCACGGCAGCTTTAAGGTCTCTTCCAACCCAAACCATTGTGGTTCTAGGAGATAAAACCCTGTCATGTTTCCCAGCCTCCCGCCCCCTTCGTTTCCAATGGCGGGTGGGCCGGAGGGCTGGGGGGTGTCCCCAGGCGCCGGGGGAGGCGGTGAAGGGGTGTCCCGGCGGGGTGGGGGTGTCCCCGGG